GATTTGACCTAAAACCTTTGATAGTAAGTGAGTTGAGATAAATAATAGTATTTTTCAGTACAGTATATAGAACAGTAATAATAGTACAGTAATTTACTTTTAGCTTCTTGCTTTTATAGAAATTGATAAAAGCTTGCAGTTTTGGAAATAACAGGAGACGAAATTTGATATTATTTTAATTTCTAAATATGAACAGGAGTATCTGTTAGTGTTCAAACGCCTGCTAATATCAGATTTGTATAAATTTATCTAAAAAAAAATTACTATGCTGTATATTGGTGCAAGAAGCGGGTAGTATGAAACAAATGTGGTCATTTTTGAGCTTTGAGGGGCTTTAACTTTTAAAAATAAGAATTTTCAATTTTAAGATAGCAACAATTTTGTACTATAGCGAAATGATTTTCAAATAAAAACCAATTTTTATATAAAATTTCAGGTTTCTACCTTTAAGGGTGTAGGTGGATTAAAAACAGACAAATATACGCATGAATCGAGTAAAAATAATAAGAACTTTTTTTCAATTTTTTTTTTTTTTTTTTGAATATTACAAAAAATGAATAAATTCTAGAGTTTTAAGATTTTAAGAAGGGTAATTTGTAGGAATTATATTACATCATTCCATATTTGGTAGCAGAGTAAAGCTTTGAGAAACAAGAAACTATTTTCTAGCATATTTGAGAATGAAAATAGAACAAAAAAGAACTTCAAACTTTTAAAATTTTGGACATTCATTAAAAATATGTGCTTTTCAATCATTTTTAGTGATTTTACTGTGATTTAAATTATTTCTAGGGTTAATAAAGGTTATGAGTGAAATTGTTATGAACCTTATGTGTTAATATTTATTTATTGTTTGATGTATTTTAACGGTTTTTCCGCAAAACCACTATTGCCGCAATTGTTGATAATTAATTTATGAAATGATGATTTCTTTGAACTAAGCTTATTATAATAGTAAAGTTTATTATTAATTACGGCATTTAGTAGGCCACAATATTTTTAATTATTTCCTTAAATGCAATTTGTTTTATACCAGAGTTACAAGTTCTTCTAAAGTTCAACATAAGAAATATGGCTTTCTAAATTTTATTTTGTGTTTGTATAATAAACTGTTAACGTTGTTTTATGTAAAAACGCCTTTTACTTTTTATACAAAATATTTTTGTTTTTGCTTAAAAAAACTAAAATTATTTTCACCTATAAAAAAATAATATTTAAAGTTCAAGAAGTTTATCAAAAATTTAAAATTTTTTCCGGATTAAAACTATGAAATTTTTCCTTTTTTTTCGCTTATTTCTCTTATCAAATTTTTTCTTAAGTATTTAAGAAAAAAATTTTGATTTTAATTAAACAAAATTTAACCCGCAGTAAAAGATTCTTGGTTAGTAGTAAAAATTTGCCTTCAATATTTCATTTTAAAACTATTTTTAAATTATTTTTTGAATTTTATAAATAATTACTTTATTAATAATCAAAAGTTGGCACAAATCAAAAAAAAAATAATAATTCTCAAGTTCAAAATCGTGCTCTGTATAAAATATAGAACATCATAGATTAGAGAATAATTATTTTAAGACTTTAAATTCAAATATTTATAAAAGTATAATGTTATACGTATATATATATAATAATTACTAAAGTATATTTAAAATAAAAGCGTTATAAATTAAATTATAAATTATTTTCATAGAGTATTTAACCTAATTTAAATTGTATATTAGAACAATTTAATTAAGGCTTTGTAAAATTTATAAAATTAGACGGACAGACTTGCTATGTACAGTCGAAATCAGTATAACTAGTAAGCGGTTAGTTTTAGAAACCGTAACCGTACAAGTAAATCCGAAATTATTGTTTATTATAAGTGATATTTTAAATTTAACCGGGTTGGATTTGATTCAAATCCTAAATTTCAATTTCAATTCAATAAATCTTTATTCCAAAATAAATCCAAACTTAAAATTATTACAAGTATGTATTTGCGTATACACGCCAAAATTGGCTTAGCCCTACATTATGTACATATAAATTTAATTAATGAATAATGATGTAAACGAATGGCTAAGTTACTTCATATAATATCGCTAAAATACCAATAAGATTACAATTTAGAATAAGTAAGCGTCGTCTATAGCGTCTATATAAAGATATAAAATATAAATTAAATATAAATGAAAATAAATATAACTTAAAATAGATATACATTTTGGTACAATGTAAATATGCTGTGCATAAAAAGAACAAGGAAGAATTATTGTTGCAAACAGTTTACTTGATATGAATGAACAAGAGTCGTAAAATCAAATTATTTATGCTTATACCTGTTTTAAATTTTCAATATCATTATAATCTTTAAGAAAAAGCCAACACTTATTACCCTAGCTTAGAATATTTTACAATTTTTAATTCTTTTAATGTCTAGTGGCAATCTGATAAACGCTTAGAGCACAAATTGTAAAAAATCTCATATATAAGGGAGGAATTGAAGCAAAATTATGGAATTAAATTTCGTATATACGAATTAGTTGTAAAAGTATAAGGTTCCAGAATATATAAAGGGTAAATGACAAACCATATAGAGAATTGGGTCCATTTGAGGTTAAAATTAAGGGTTATATTAAATTTTCAATTTCAATGAGCGCATTATTGGAAAAATGGCAACACTTTTACAAAAACGTAGTGCAATTTTTTTTACTAAATATAGCTATTTCTCTTTCCTATAAATATTGTATACAATTTTGACACGAATAACAAATGCCATATTTGATGTCATTGTTAAAATTATTTTATTTGCATTTCTGTTGTTAAAAAATTCTTTTCTATTTGTTTTACGTATACAGGAGCCTCTTCTTGGTACATTTTTCATTTGAGAGTAAAAATGGGTAATTTTCATCAAATTTGTGGGTAATTTTTAGTTTTTCGACTTAAATCTATTCTAATAAACACGTAAATTTTAAAAATTAACATTCTCTATAGTTCATTAATTTAAATATGGTTCCTCTAAAACGGATGTTTAATAGATAATTAAAATTTATTTAATTATAATGAATAATTTACACTATCTTTTTTCGATTTTATTTTAGAATCAAAGATAATTTTTTATGAATGTCACGTATTAGATTTATTTTTTTTGTTTTTAAGATTATCATTTAAATACGCGTAAATTTCTTATACTGAGAGAGTTGTAGACTCAGGTGTTGTAAGACAATATTTAATATGGCAATTGTATATGATAATAAATTATTGGTTCAATAAAATTTCATCGCAGTTTTGATTGATTTATAAATTGTAATCCAGTTTAAACTTAATATTTATTTATGTACCTTAACATTTTAGCTAAATTCTATAGCATAATTAATTTTATAGTACAGAATTTTCGAATAGCTGTCAAAAATTTATGCTAAATTCATTCAGCCAATAGTAGTTCAGACTAAATTGTACATAAAAACTAAAATATTGCACTGAAACTGTAGGACAAATGTATTACAAGTAATAGGGCAGTAATAATAGGGTAAATGTAAATTGTTTTCCAATTTATTTGATTTAGCAATTAAATTTATATTATGCCGAATTAGTCGAATTATACGAGCATCAGATTTCCATTTCGGTTAACGTCCGTTAGTGTTGATTAACTAAATAAATAATAATTTTTTTTTATTCATAATGATTACGAATTTATTTGATTATTTTTAAAATATTTAATTAAATAATTTTTTTTTATTGTTTGTGTTTTGTATATCAACTTCAGATTACAATAATATAATATTCAAAAGAGAAACTTGCGTACAATTTTACACACTTATTTGCAAAAACACACAACAGAAACTGTTGATCTTTTTATATAAAATTAATTAATTATATTAAAAATATTTAAGTAAGTCAATTTGGTTTAGATTTTTATGACTTAATAATAAAATTAGAAAAATTTCAATATAATATTTTAATTTATTGGGCTTGACATTGATGTTTTTGTTTTTTGGTTCTTTTGGCGTTAATGGGTTTTTAATAGCCATTTTAATAACTTTACTTAAAAACCAATAAAATTATATTATAATTTTTGTTTTTCTTATAGATTTTCTTGTAAAATTTTTGATTATTTTAAAATTTTTTCGGATTGAATGTCAATCTAATCTATTTGAATATTTTTACATTCATTTGAGCGATTAATTAAGACTAACACCCTTTATTAAAAAGGTCACGTAAGTGTATTGTATAATATTTTTATCTTCCACATGTGTAATTTGATATTTTGGTATGATAAGTTAATGCTGTTTATTATTTATATAATAAAAAATAAGATGAAAATATTGAAAAATATTTTGGAAATTCGCAATTAAAAATAAAATATTAATTTGAATTGAGAATTGAACAGAATTGAAAATATTTGAAAATGATAACTAATTCAGTTGCATGTGTGATCTGAAACTTTTCAGAAATTTTTAATAGCCTATAGCTTAAAAATTGCTAATTAAGATGTTTCTATCCTAAAATTAGTCCAAAATTGAAGTTAAATACTTATTAAGCGATAATCATATTATTTAAGCCCCTAAATATCGGCAATATTTTGTTATTGATCAGATTTTTTTTTTATCGTATTTCGTTCATGGGAGCGAAAGGAGCATAGAGCTGATGCATTGTAGATAACCATGAATTAGTTTCTAACGTTATTGAGTTTACTAAGTAGGTGACGAGCCTACTGTAGATTGGTAGTAAAAGAATTTTGTATGGAATTTTCCCTAAACTTTGGTGTAAGATTGAAGTTGAAAATGTTTACGAAAAATTATTTGATTTATGTAATAAACTTGGGGATTTTGTTAAAATTCGCATAATTATGATAGTTATTATGTAAATATGCAAAAATTTTTAATATTTTACAATGTATGACGTTATGAGCTTATATATATGACGTATTTTTAATTCTAGATCAATAATAGGCCTACAATATTTCATTTTAAATTGCAAACTCAAGAAAACACTAAATTTATTATTAAAAATTTAAGGACAAAATAAATGCTAATCGAATCATTGTTTAGAACGTATTTTCCATATTTTAAGAATAACAAAATTTAAACTTCTCGTAGATAAAGAATTAAACCTTAAAAAATAATCCAAATTTTAAAAAATATTGAGAAGATGGCATTTTATAAAATTATTTTAGCAATTTTGGTGAGTTCGTGGTTATTTTTTTCTAAATGCACAAATAAATTCTGGCTGAAAACTTTATGACAATAAAATTTTACTTTTCTTTATTAAAATAGGCAATTCACCATGGTGGTGTTATAACTGGATCATTTGCAAATAGCGGTACAATACCATGTGGAGGTTTATTATGTAGACCAATTTCAGGAATTTTTACTAAAGATCCACTACCAAACGAATATGTTCATGTTGCAACTTTACCAGCTGGTGCATCAAATATTTCAATAACAGAATTGAAAAATAGCAAAAATTTATTAGGTAAATATAAGACCAAATTAATAAAACCTTAAAATAATTTGACAATTTTTTTTTTAAATTTTTAAAAAGTGCTAAAATTACATAATGGTAAATATGTTTTTAATGGTGAACAAACACCATCAAGAAGTGGACCATATGAAATAGCTGGTGCAACATTTGATTATAGACGAATTGATGGTTTGATTGCAACTGATGGAAAAGAAATTGAAGGTGTTACAGAATGGATTACATGTCTGGGACCAATACGTGAAACAATTGAATTAATGGTATAATTACTGGGAGACTTTTTAAATATGAATTTTGAAATTTTTGAAAATTTTAAATATTCTTTTACAAATTTTAGGTATTTGTAACAGATAAAAATCCCGGAATCAAATATGAATATCTTTTACCAGTTTTATCAAATTCAGAAGAAGATGAAAATTCAAATTCTATTGAATCTGATGGTGAAGTTCATTTAAAATCAGGAGATGATGACAATTTACCAACATCGGTAACAGTGACCAAACCACGTCGAAAAAGACGATTCCAATGGAAAGTTGTTGGTTTTAGTCCATGTAGTAAATCTTGTGGTGGTGGTACACAAACACCTATCATACGCTGTGTGCGTGAAATACCAAAACGATTTTATTCAGCTAAACGTTGTTCACATACAGAAAAACCAATTTTAAATGAAAATCTATTACGTTGTAATACACAACCCTGTCCAGCATATTGGAGAATTGAAGATTGGGGTGATTGTAGATGTCATTTAGGTGAAGGTTTTCGTGAACGTGAAGTAAGATGTGTACAAGAATTAGCAACTGGAATTGTTATACAAGTTAATACAGCTGCCTGTTTGGAAGAAGAACCATCAAGAAAGAAACGTTGTGAATGTCCAAAAACATCAACATCATCAAGACGAAAACATTATTTAAATCACATTCATCATAATCGTAATAAACATCAATCAAGATCACCTGTTGTCGATAATTTTATAATGAATAGTAGTACAGTGGCACCACAAAAACAACATGATTATAATAAATCTGGTACATGGTTAGTATCAGATTGGAATCAACATTGTTCAGCTGAATGCGGTACCGGAATTGAATATCGTTCAATATTTTGTGATAGATCACCACCAAATTCAGATAGATGTGATTTACGTTTTACACCAGATACAACGAGACCATGTGAAAATGAACGTTCATGTGATACTGGTGAATGGTTTACAAGTCCATGGAGTCAATGTAGTGGTAGTTGCTTTAATTTAACAAGAAATCGTCAAGTTATATGCATACGAAATCAATTAATTGTTGAAGATGATGAATGTATATTAAATGAGAAACCAGAACAATTACAAAATTGTACTTTTCAAGATGTTGATTATTGTAAACCAAGATGGCATTATTCATCATGGACAGAGGTAAAATATTTGTATAGATAATCGAATGAATCTATTGAATAATTTTAATTTTTCTAACTTTTAGTGTTCGAAATCATGTGATGGTGGTACACAAAGACGAACTGTTAAATGTCTTGAATTGGATATCAAAGAAAATACATTAAAAGAATCACAAAGATGTCGATATGCTGAACGTGAACCAATTTACAGAAGTTGTAATACACATAATTGTCATGGTAATTATAAAATTGCAAATTTAAGTTTTAAAATAACATTAATTTTTATTTTAGAACCACGTGTTGAAATGATCCAAAATGATATTGCAACATGTAATGATGAATTTTCAAATTGTCATTTAGCTGTTAAAGCGAAATTATGTGGTCATGAATATTATCAACAGAATTGTTGTTATTCATGTCACGTTGAATTATTTAATAATAGTAATGAATAGAAATAATTAATTAATTTATTTAAAATTTATTTTATTTTAGTTTGAAAAATTTTTTAAATTTTACTAAAATTCGAATTTTAGTAAAAATATATCTTTAATGATTTATTGTCCTTTTTGTAATTTCTCTTGCGATTTAGAAATTTTTAAAGTAACCTAGGGACAAAATTAAAAAATAATAAGAAAGGTTGGAAGTTTAATATACTTTTGGGAACTTCCTTTACAATTATAATTATTCAGACTTTGCATCTCATATTTTTGCAGAATTCAGGAAAGCATAACACAAGCTGAGTTGTGCGCAGTTATAACATATGAGAATTATTAATAGAAATTCTATACTTTATCATTTATATTTTTAAATTACGGATGCAAATTGCTACTAATATTCTGTTAATTTGCTTCTTTGAGTTTAAGAGTTGAGTTATAATTACAATTTAGTTATGGCAATCAACATTATAAGGTAACCAGAAGCATTAGTGTCGTAACCCAAATACATGAAAATATTACTTATTACTTAAATCTCTGTAGCATATTTTCTCTGTCAGGATCAATGATGAAAAATTTTTAATTAAGTGGCTTAACACATATTGTGACTTAATAATATTAATATGGGCTACGCAGTTATGCTTCTGAGTCCTTTATATTTAATCTTTGAAAAACTTACTTTTGTTTTTTAATTATATATGTACAAGTACATAATATTTAATTAAATATACTTTCTTATTATAATCATAACATGAATTTAGTTGAAATAATTATATTTTTAGTATTATTATTAATTATACATTTTATGTATATGAATATACAACACATAATATGACATATTAATATAATAAAATAAAATTAATATTAAGACTTAAAACAGATTTTTATTAAGCACAATATGCATTTCAATTTTTTGCGATATTAATAATATCTTGTATATTTTTTAAGTTTAAATTAAAAATAAGTAAAAAATATTATTTTTTAATTGTATTTTCTTAACATTATATTAGTTTTCTTTATTGTTGTGTAGCACAATATAATTTTCATTTTGTTTTGTTCTTTTTTTTGTATGAAATTATAGTTAATATTTAATTATAAATAAATAGTTTATATATTATGTATGTATAATTATTTTAATAAAAATCATTAATATTATATTTGATAATATCATATAAAAATTCCAAAATTATATAATAATTTTTAATAAAATTTCAAAATTTTTCAATTTATTTATTGTTTATTTTTCTTATTTAAGAATTAAAATTGAATTAAAAATTAAATCAAATAATAATTTTAAAAAATATAGGTGATAAGTTTTATATTATAGTAATACGGTATAGAGTTAGCTTCCGTACCTATGAACGGTTTTAGTTATGATATATCGGAATAGTAATATCTTAAAAGATATACATGTAAGGGGTCATTAAAATGCTGTAGACTTCTAGAAAGTATTTTTAATTCCCGAAAAAACTATTCTGCTCTTATACGATATATATGTAATTTTAAAACATTTTCAAACTCCAATCAAAATATCGCCTTAAAGAAGTAAATATTTGTAGTAGTTTTTAAAATTTTCTGTACACGCACATGAACGTCATTGCATATAAATCATTTGCATTTTGAACCAATGTATAAAATTTTAATTCTAAAATATTAAATCTCAAATTTAATAGAAAACTTTTGTAATCAGAGACCAAATACTGGTCTTACTTCGACAGATACATTATATTCAAAAAATGTTATGCAAATTAAAAGATGAAAGCTTTATGATAAGATTAGCTGGATTTAATCAAGTACTCAGAAACACTATAATTCAATAGTTTATTAACAGTCAACTATAGATACTGGTATATTAATATTTGGCCTTTAAAAGTAGCTTTCAAATTAGAATATATAGACAAATTCTTATTACACTTTTTTTATCTTAAAATATTAAAATCGTTTATATTTGAATTTATATATTAATTGCAATATTATCGTAAAAAAATGGTTTTCGTCTTTGCTAAAATAGAAAAAAAAATAACACAGCTATAAAAAAATTTCTTTTATTTCCTTCAAATATTTCGGGTATATGATATGTAACTACATTAAAGTTACGATAATCATCTTATATCTTTAGTTATTAAATGCTGTTAACAGTTAAGTTTATGATAAAACAAATAACTATTCTAATATGTATTGAGAATAAAATATAGAATTAGTTATTGATCTCTTGTGTTAAAATCAATAAAAAACTTCATTAGACGGTATGTGTTTACAGTTTCTAAAAAATGTGGTAATACTACACGTACGATATTTTTAACGGTATTATTGAAAGAGTCATCTGGCGGTCGATTAATAAATGTGAAATATTTAAAATTCAAAATTTCATTTCAATTTTTGAACAATGCTTTAAACTTTAAAGGTAAGCTTAAAGTAAAGGTAAAAAAATAACTTTTGTTTCGAAAATGTTTCAACAGTATTTTATTGCCCGATTTTGTTAATCAGGTTTTTCGTATATGAATACAACATTTATGAATAGGATTAGTTGTTAGATATTCAAAGTTATTGTAGAAAACCTTAAACTGTTTTTTTCGCTTCATATATGCATTTATTTTAATGTAAACAATAATTATTTACATGGAAGAACTAAAGACGATAAATCTTAAAACATGGTATCTTATAAAATTCAGTTCTTAAGATTAGAATGGCAAAACTTTAAAAGCTCTACATTTAATTTGTACATGAAACTTTTGAAACGATATAGTTTAAGCCTTACGTACTGCATTTTCGAAAGTAGTCAAAACACTAACATAAGGAATAAACAGAACTTAATATGGTAATTTTAACATATAACGAAATAACATCAGAAAATTTGCTTTCTTCAATTAAGTGTTTAATGAAGTCAATTTAGTGTTATTCATAGTAAATTTTAGGTATAATTGTAAACAATTTTTATAACAATATCAAAAAACATTATTAACAAGGGGGGTTTTTGTTTATGCACGCTCCGCTGAAAGTTCTACATTAGAACTAAAATTTCTAAGTCCCAGTAATTTTGAAACTTCTAAATAATCAGTCGTTCGAAAATAAAAGAAATGACATTATTTATAGAATTGGATCCCAATACTTTTAATGTGCCAATTCATTGCAAAATAAGGAAATTTTACCAATATTTGAAGACTTAAAGAAAACTTACTTTAATAACACTTCAATATCTGAATCTGCTATTTTGAAATTTAAAATTTTTTTTTGAATTTTAAATTAAAAAAAAATTTCATGAAGTAGCGACAAAATTTATACTAGAAGTATGCGCTACATATCTAACAATTCTTTATTGCCGATTGAATTTCCGAACGCACTGTATTGCAGCCAGTAATTTCTGAACGATCTTTATTTTCAGTGTATGCAGCGTGAATTTTCGAACGTACAAGTTCGAACTATTCTAGAACTGAATAAACGAAAACCCCCAAGGAATGCATAAACAGAGAAATTAAGCAAACTGTACGGAAATTGGTACACTTTTATACTTATCTTACACTAGTAGATATGTCAGAGATAGCGACTCAAGTGTTAATTGCCAATTCAATTACATATTCGCTTATAGTTTGCCATAATTAATGCGCACTGTAATCCGTTCACAACATTTCAAGTTATTTTCAATTTAGCCCAGAATGTAGAAAGAGCAAATTGTATTGGCAATCATTAAAACATTTCTTTTATTTTTTGGTTTTTTCAATTTTTTTATTTTTCAAAAAAAAAGTTTTTGTTTTGTATAAATTTTATTCATTATAATAATTTAATTGTATAAGTTTTTTTTTTGTTTCCATTTTTAAAGGGGTGCACAAATTGCAAAAATCTGTAAATTTTTCTTTTTTTATTTTATTTCGGTTCAATATTCTTATTGTTTTCTGGTTGTTTCTGTTTTTCAATATATTAAAAAAGTAATCATGCTTAAATTAATAAAATAAAATCATAAATGTAGAGTTTTTGGTAGACTCAATAACTTAAATTTTTATAAATAATAATAAAAAAAATTTTCTTTAACTCTACATTCGACCAAAAATTATCCTTGTTTTTTAATTGGTAATATTCGGAGTTTTTTGTTTTCTTTTTTTTTTTGTATTTTTTCTTTTTTTTTTTATTTTTTCTTTTTTATTGTATTTTTTTTTCTTGTTTATTAAATAAAGAGAACGAAAATTAAAGGTGCTATTTTAATGTCTCTCTTTCTCTTTTTAATGGTTGTTATATTGTAGTTGCTTTTATATTGCTGTTTTATATTTTAAGCGCTGCTTTCACCAGTAGTATTATGAACTTGTTGTTCATTATTACCACCTTGTTCGTTAGCACCGCCATTCTTCCTCTTGCGATTATAACGTCTGCGGCGGTTACGTTGCCCGCCAGCACCTTTACCACCGTTGCCACCGCCATTACCACCACCATTTCCTTGTTGACCTTGACCACCACCCTGATTTCCATCTTGTTGTTCGCCATCTTGATTATTAATACGACGATTACCTCCACGTGGTGGTCCACCCCTGAAATTAATACGGAATCGTTTAGGAGGTCCACGGCGTTGTTGTCCTTGTCCTTGTCCTTGACCTTCGGTAGCTGAATCTCCGCCACCATTAGCATCTCCACCGTTTTGATTCTCTCCTCCGGCATTATTACCACCTGTTTGACGTCTCGGACGTCTGAAGTAATTAACACGGCCACCACGGCCGCGTCGGATACTAAAATTAGAATTAGAAAAAGAAATTTTAGATTTATTTTTTTTTAAATTTAAATTTGTTTCTTTTTTTTTGTGTTTTACAAACTATAACTTTAAATGTTAAACAAATGACGTAAGTTAAAAATAAAAATATAATTTACGAGTCCTGCATTTAAATATTCACAATGGTCTTTAAGTTAAAATTTTTAAAAATTTAATTAATTTCTTAATTTACCGTCTTTGTTGGGGACGTTGCTGTTGTTGACCGCCTCCATCACTCTGTTGGGCACCTTCACCATCAGTGCCTTCTTGGCCATTTCCGCCACCTGTTGTACCGCTTAATTTCTTTTGTTGGTTACGTAGACGATTTTTACTTTGCCAACGGAAACGTCTTTTATCAGCAGCAAATTGACTACCTTTAACTGGTTCACCAAATGGACCAGTAACATTAGCTGCTTCATTACCTTTTTCTCCAATGACAACATCAAATTCAACAACTTCACCGTCTCCAACTGAGCGGACAGCTTTTTTTGGATTATTTTTAACAATGGCCGTCTGATGTACGAACACATCTTCTTTAGTATCGTCGCGATTAATGAAACCATAGGCGCTTTTCACATTAAACCATTTAACAGTACCAGTTACCTTAACAGCTAAAATGACAAAAAAAATATATATATTTATATTATTTGTTTATTCTTAACAGTTAACTTATATAATATCGAATTTTTTGAATTACAAGTATGCAAGTTATATATTCGCTTACGCCCGGAACACCAAAAAATAAAATTTAACTATAACTAAAATTAAATCGAACGTTGCGATCAAATTTCCATACTTTATTACTTAAACCTATTCTAAATCATTTAATCGCAACGTGATTTGACAAAAACAAAATATTTATTTTAAATTAAAATTAAAATTCAACGTTGCAATTAAACTCCTATATGAAATCATTTAATTGCAACGTGATTGAACTTTTACAGACAAAACTAAAGCAAAGTTCCAAATATTCAAATTACAATATTAAAACTTTCCCATGAGAATTATTCTAAACAATTTTTTGCTTACTAAACAGTTATTTCTTATAAATAGAGTAAATTCAATAGCAACTTGGCTTGGTTGGTAATTCAGTAGCTCGTTAGTTATTAAATCGTTTTGCCGTTTAGAAAATAAAGATTTAAAAATAAAGTTAATAAGTTTGGAATTAGAAATTAAAGTGTAATTAATTAATAAATGAAATAAAAAGAACTTTTATAAATCTTAAAATATTTTTTGTGTAAAGTAAAAACTTATAGTTTAATTTAATAAGTTTGGAATTGGAAATTAAAGTGTAATTAATTAATAAATGAAATAAAAAGAACTTTTATAAATCTTAAAATATTTTTTTTGTGTAAAGTAAAAACTTATAATTTAATTGGCGCAGTCGGTAGGATACCGACTCCGTCTATAAAAACAAAAAAAAAATCTAAACAAAAAAAAAGAAAACACTAATATTTTTCTTAAGTCAATTTAAATGAACAAAAAACTAGAAAATAAAATAGTGTAATGCTCAAACCATTAAGCAAAATTAAATAATAATAATAAAAAAAAAAATTTTGTGGTGAACTGAGTGATAAAAGTTTAGTTGTGTAAAGGCGGAGAACTTTTTTCAAAAAGTTAATTCGGTAAATAAACGAACAAAAATTATAAGTAAAACACAAATAAAATATCTATTAAAAGATCTTTAATCAAATCAAATTTTACAACTAATTAAATTGATAAAACAAAAATTATAAAAAGAGAAAAAAAGGAAAAAAACCAAAATATTTTTTTTTTTTTTTTTTTTTTTTTTAACATTTATGAAGAAAAGTGAAAAAGAAAAATACTTTGATAATCTAAAAAATATACAAAAAAATTTTTAACATGTCACTTGCTGCAATTACATTAAAAGACTTGATAGGCGAAGCTCGTTCAGTACCAATTTTTACTGGACAAGACGCCTACAGTCTAAAATCCTTCATCGAAGAAGTCGAAAGTTTAATTGCCTTAGCAGCGGATGCCGATGCAAAAAACTATCTATACAGAATTTTGTACAGCAAGATCCAGGGTCCTGCAGCGGCAGCAATCCGGAGAATTCAGGAAAAAACTTGGGACGAAGTAAAACAACAACTGAAAGCTACCTTCGGAGTACAGAAATCTTATTTGAAATTAAAAGAAGAAGCAGACTGTATAATTTTTAGAAATGTAAGTGATCTTTATGTTAAATTAAATTCCATATTAAATTTGTTAAATTTAAAATATGATTTGGATGACAATAAATCTTCAGAATTTAATCCAATTAATAATGAAAATTCAATATTAGAAAAATTTTTGAATAAATTAAATAGAGTAGACTCAATGTACCTTAGAACTAAAAATGTAACAACATTAGAAGACGCTTATAGAAGCTTATTAGAAACCAATATATCCGACAGCAAGGTTCCAAACACCAACTCTCAGTATAGGAACAATAATCATACAAATTACAGAAATAACCATAACATAAATTCTAGACATAGTAGTAATAATACAAATTCCAGAAATAACTATAGAAACGCAAATAGAACTTTCAACAATAACAATTACAATAACAACATAAGAAACACTTACACAAATAGACCAATGGACAGAAACTACACTACTAACGAAAAGTTTAGGAATTTTAGGCCCAACCAACAATTTGGTGGTACAGGTAATAATCTACCAGGACCATCTTATAACGAAAATCGGTCAAGTCCAGTTCCAATGGATGTAGATTCAGGTTCCACAGAAAATTTTCACTGTGGTCCCCCTATCCGACATTACCCTTAGTAGACTTAACAATAGAAGGCAAAAAGCTGACCTGTCTGATCGACACAGGATCAGTTACTTCAATTATAAACGGCAATATTTTTGATCGATCTAAACAAAACAAATTAGAAAATCCAATTCAATTAAAAACACTCGCAGGAAACCAAGCCATTAAATACGAAATAACTACAAAAGTACCTGACGAGTTCAATGAAAATTCAACTATGTCCTGGAAAGTAATGGATCTTAGCAATAAAAACTTTGACGCTCTCTTAGGCCAAAATATTTTAAGACCAATAGGAGCAAATATTAACCTTTCAAAGGAGCGGTTAGAAATTAACAACCGTAATATTAAATTTAATTCAGCTTGTCCTTTTGAAAACACTTGTCAAATAGAACCTTTACAAATCAACCATAATGAATTATTTGAAAAATTATTAAATAAAAATATGAATAGAGAAGAAACTAAATCATTAAAATATATTTTAAACTCTAATAAGGATCTTTTCTATAAAGAGGGAGATCGATTAACATGTGTCAAAAGTGTAAAACATCAAATAATTACAACTACTTCCCAACCGATTTATAGTAAAATGTATCGGTTTCCAAAAATACATGAAGAGGAAGTAAATAAGCAAGTTCAGGAAATGTTAGAGCAAAATATTATTCAACCATCCAGTAGCCCTTATAATAGCCCTATATGGGTAGTACCCAAAAAATTGGACTACTCAGGGAAACAAAAATGGCGCATTGTCATCGACTACCGTAAATTAAATGAAATTACGGTTGATGACAAATTCCCGATACCGAATATAGATTCTATATTTGATAAATTGGGTCGCGCTCAATATTTCACCACTCTGGACCTCGCAAAGGGGTTTCACCAGATATTAGTGGATGAAAAGGATCGTCTAAAGACCGCGTTTTCTACACCGCAAGGTCACTTTGAGTTTGTACGGATGCCATTCGGACTAAAGAATGCTCCGGCAACTTTTCAAAGGATGATCAATTACGTTTTAAAGGACTTTATCGGGCGAATTTGCGTTGTCTATCTAGATGACATCCTTATTTTCTCTACATCACTACAAGAACACCTCTCAGCTATTAATAAAATATTTTCAAAATTAAGAGAGTTCAATCTAAAAATCCAAGTGGATAAGTGCAAATTTTTCTCTAAAGAGACAGAGTATTTAGGACACATATTAACACCAGAGGGAATAAAGCCAAACGAAGATAAAATTAATGTAATTAAACAAATCAAACTGCCTAAGACTCCCAAGCAGATGAAAAGTTTCCTAGGCATTACGGGGTACTATCGCAAGTTCATCAAGGACTATGCGAAAGTAGCTCAGCCTATGACTAAATATTTGAAAAAGGGAAATAAAATCAATGAAAATGATATACAATATAAAGACTCCTTTCAAAAATTAAAAGAATTGATTACAACTTATCCTATACTTCGTTACCCTGATTTTAAAAAGAAATTTGTATTAACGACGGACGCGTCCAACTTTGCAGTTGGAGCAGTCCTATCACAAGAAAACCACCCGGTCTGCTTCGCTAGCAGAACCCTTAATAATCATGAATGCAATTACTCTACTATAGAGAAGGAACTTCTTGCCATAGTATGGGCCACTAAATATTTTCGGCCATACTTATATGGTACAAAATTTTTAATAAGAACAGACCACCAACCCTTAAAATGGTTGCATTCACTAAAAGAACCAAACGCCAAACTACAAAGATGGCGAATCAGATTAAACGAATACGACTTCGAAATAGACTATGTAAAAGGAAAAGAAAATCGTGTTGCTGATTTTTTAAGTAGAATGGATTCTACAAATAATGAAATTAATCATATAGATGACCCTAACGAAACACCTTCTAATAATTCAGTTATAACAACAAACCATAGTCGCCATGAAAATCAATTCCCAACATCCGATATAATAATTAATAAATATTTGACGCAGCTTTATTTGACAAAAGAAAAAGAAAGGGAAATAATTATAAAATATAAAAAATTTAGACAAATCTTTATTAGTGAAAATGAAATCAATAATAGCCATTATTTAAATGACATACTTAGACGATTCATTAGAAATGGAATAACTGCTATCTATTCCGAATTAAATGATGAAAAATTTGATATAGTAAAACAGAAACTCACGGAACTCTTTTCTAATAATAATAAAATGAAATTCATAAAATGTACTAAAAAAGCAATAGACATAGAAAATGAAGAAGAGGCCTTAAAATTAATAGAAAAAATTCATAAAGAATCAAACCATCGAGGTATCGTTGAAAATTATACAGAAGTGAAAGATGAGTTTTTCTTCCCTAAACTTAAGGAACTATTTCATAAGTATATAAACAATTGCGACATATGTAATCAATCAAAATATGATCGCAAACCAAATAAATATAGATTCGAAATTTCCGAAACCCCGAGCTCTCCTAATGAAATAATACACGTCGATTTATTTTTCTGTTATAAGGAAATATTTCTTACAATAATTGACAAATTCTCAAAGCATTTAATGGTCCAACGTCTTAATGACCGAAATGCAACTACTATTATACAAGCACTTCGCAACAGGTTTGCACTATTCGGTAGGCCAGATAAAATCGTTGTCGACAATGAGTTCGATAGTCTTAATATCAAAAACTTCTTTAGAACAGAAAATATAAACGCTCACTTTACGTCACCCAGAAGCCATACCGGAAATTCTACAATCGAACGAGCTCACGGAACTTTAAGCGAACACCTTCGTATCTTAGATACACAAAAATCACATTTAACACCGTATGAAAAAATATTATTCGCAGTCGAAAAATATAA